CACCTGGTCCATGCTGACTTGAGCTCCAGGCATTCTGTCAGGCACCCCCCGAGTTGAGCACACTGGGGCCACCCAGTCCATACTTGCTTTAGCTCCAGCTGCCCTGCCAGTGTGCCCCTTACATGGAGTATCCCAGGACTTACCCAGCCCCTGCCTGCTTCACTTCAGCTATCCCACAAAGGTGCCTCCTGTGCAGAGACCCCTGGGCCTTCCAGGCCATACCCATGTTAGCTCCAGCCATCTGACCATGGCAGCCCCAGTGTAGAATGTCCCAGGTCTCCCAACCTGTGCTGTCTATAATCCCAGCCAGCCAGCCAAGCCACCAGGTACACACAGTCTATGCAGGGGATATTCTTGCATAAGGCCATTTCTTCAAATCTAGAAGAAGCAGTTGTTTTGTCCAACTCATGGTGGGAGGAGGGGGACCACAGGAATTTAAAAAAAGGGGACAGAGGAATATGTTCCAAATGAAAGAACAAGACAAAACCTCAGAAGAAGAACTAAACAAAATGGAGACAAGCAACCTACCAGAAAAACAATCCAAAGTAATGGTCATAAGGACAAGAGTGGACGAACTCAGTGGGAACTTCAACAAAGAGAGAAAATATTAAATCAAATTTGAATAAATAAATGAAAAATATGCTAGAGGGAATCATTAGCAGATTAGAGGATGCGGAAGAGCAGATCAGTGGTCCAGACAAGGTAATGGAAAGCACCCAAGCTGAACAACAAAAAGAAAAAAGGATAAAAAAATTTGATGACAGGTTAAGGGATCTCTGAGACAACATCAGCTATACTAACATTTGCATTTTAAGGTCCCACAAGAAGAAGAGACCAAGGAAAGGGCAGAAAACTTACTTGAAGAAATAATAGCTGACAACTTCCCTCACCTGGCAAAGAAACAGACATCTGGGTCCAAGAAGCATAGAGCTCCAAAGAAGATGAACCCTAGGAGGTCCACACCAACACACATTAACATTTAAAATTTCAAAGATAAAGAGAGAATCTTAGCAACAGGAGAAAAATAAATTGTTATATACTAGGGAAACTCCGTAAGGCTATGAGCTGATTTTTCAACAGAAATTTTGTATGCCAGGGTGCCTGGGTGGCTCCTTGGTTGAGCATCTGCCTTCAGCTCGGGTCATGATCTCCGGTTCCTAGGATTGAGCCCCACATCGGGCTCCCTGCTCAGTGGGGAGTCTGTTTCTCCCTCTCCCTCGGCTGCTCTCCCTGCTTGTGTGCTCTCGCACATGCACTCTTTCTCTCTCTCTCTCTCTCAAATGAATAAATAAAACCTTTAAAAAAAATTTTTTTTGTATACCAGAAGAAAGTGCCGTGATCTATTCATACTGCTGAAAAAGAAAAAACCTACAATCAAGAATACTCTAACTGGCAAGATTATTGTTCAGAATGGAAGGAGATAAAAAAACATTTGCCAGACAAACAAAGGTTAAAGAGGTTCATCACCAGTAAGCTAGCCTTAAAAATATAAAAGGCCAGATCTAGAAGTAAGAAAATTATGAAAAACACTCTCATGAGCTAAAGTAAACCTACAATAAAGGTAGTAAATCAATCACTCATAAAGCAGATTAAAAGACCAAAGTAGCAAAGTAAACCTAATTAAGGAACTCACAAAATAAAAATATATAAAATACAACATCATGGGCGCCTGGGTGGCTCAGTCGTTAAGCATCTGCCTTCGGCTCAGGTCATGATCCCAGGGTCCTGGGATCGAGTCCCACATTGGGCTCCCTGCTCAGCAGGAAGCCTGCTTCTCACTCTCCCACTCCCCCTGCTTGTGTTCCTGCTCTCACTATCTCTCTCTCTGTCAAATAAATAAAATCTTTAAAAATAAAAAAATAAAAAATAAAATAAAATAAAATACAACATCATATATATAACACGGAGAGTAAAAATGTAGTTTTTATAATGTGTACAAATTAATCAACCATGAATTTAATATACACTGCTATATATTTAGGATATTATGTATCAACTTCATGGTAACCACGAACCAAAAATCTATAACAGATACATGATAAAGAGAAGGGAATCCAAGTATAGCATTGAAGAAAGCCATCAAACCATGAAGGAAGAGAGCAAGAAAGGAAAAAAACTACATAAACCACCAGAAAACAATTAAGAAAATGGAAGTCATCACATTACCTATCAGTAATTACTTTAAATGTAAATGGTTTAAATGCTCAGATTTAAAGAAATAGGGTAGCTGAATGGATAAAAAAAAAAAAACAAGACCCATCTATATGCTGCCTACAAGAGACTCACTTCACACCTAAAGACACAGACAAACAAAGTGAAGGTATGGAAAACACATTCCATGTAAATATAAGTGGGGGGAAAAAAGCTGGAATTGCAATACTTAGACAAAATAAATTTTAAAACAAAGGCTATAACAAAATCAAAGGGCATTACATAATTATAAAGGAATCAGTCCAACAAGATATAACAATTGTAAATACCAGAGTACCCAAAATAGAAGCACGTAAATACATAAATATTAGCAGACATAAAAGGAGAAATTGACAGTGATACAGTACTAGTAAGTAAATTTAACACAGTACTTACATCAATGGAAAGATCACACACACAGAAAATCAGTAAGAAAACAGTGGCTTTAAATAGCACATCAGACCAGATCACTTAGCAGATAGATACAGAACATTTCATCCAAAAAGAGCAGAATACACAATTTTTTCAAGTGCACATGGAACATTTTTCAGAATAGATCACAAGTCAGGCCACAGAACAAGTTTCAATAAATTTAAGAAGATTGAGATCCTATCAAGCATCTTTTCCAAACACAATGGTATGAAACTATGTCAGTTATAAGAAAAAAACTGTATATGTGTGTGTGTAGATAGATACCTGTATTTACATATACACACAATGGAATGTTAGTCATAAAAAAGAATGAGATCTTGCTATTTGCAACAACATTGGATGGGCCTATGAAGGTATTATGCTAAGTAAAATAAGTCAGAGAAAGACACCCTGTGGTTTCACTTACATGTGGAATATAAAAAGGAAAATAAACAACATAAAACAGAGACTAATTTATGGAACAATCTACTTGTTCCCAAAGGGAAGGGTACTGTGGGAATGGGTGAAATAGGTGAAGGGGATTAAGTGGCAAACTTCCAGTTATAAATAAGTCATGGGAATAAGTACAGCATAGTCACCATAGTCAATAATGTTGTAATAACGCTGTATGGTGACAGATGGTAACTACACTTATCATGGTGAGCACAGTGTAATGTATAGAACTGTTGAATCCCTATGTTGTACACTTGAAGTTAATATAACATTGTATGTTAACTGTACTTCAATAAAAAATAGAAAAAAAGAATGCCAGACATGTCAACAACTTAAAAAAGATCACTGATCTTAGATCATCACAACAAATATAGTAATAATGAAAACATTTAAAATATTGGAGAATTACCAAAATGTGACCTAGGAGATACAATGTGAACAAATGCTGTTGAAACAACAGCACTAATAAACTTGCTTGCCACAGGGTTGCCACAAAACTTTAATTTGTAAGAAAAAAAAATTTAAAAACAAAGCACAATAAAAATTTTTTTAATATAAACATTAATATTCATTAGTTTGTGTTTGTTTTAGTGGGGTTTTTTTCTTTTTTGTCTTTAAGAAGTCATTTCATATTACAAGGTCACAAATATGTTCTTTTACCTTCTCTCCTAAAATTTTTAAAGTTTGACTTTTCACAATTTAGTAATGAACCTACCTGGAATTTGCATAATGTGGTGTAGGAATCTTATGGTATTTTCCCCCCAGTATGAGCAATCATTCATGAATTGTGCATCCTTTCTACCAATTTGCAATGACACCTTATTTATCAAACTTTCTTGGTAAGTTGGTTTATGGGCTTTTTATTCTATCATGGTGGTCAATTTGTTTATAGCTGTGCAAATGCCACACTGTCTTAATTATAATTGCTTTTTAATAAATTGATATATTTATTATATATCATTATATAATAATATATATATTATTATAATTGATATAAAATAAAGGGTAGGCCCTTTATTATTATCTTTTTCTGCAGATTTGGTTACTTATTTTTGTCCTTGTTGCTCTTCTATATAATAATTAGAATCAGCTTATAGAGGTCTAATAGAATTTGGGGGAGAATTACAATCTTTCTAAACCTTCCTACTGATAAACATGACATACTATTCCATGTATTCCTGCCTTCTTTTATGTCCTTTAACATTTTATAATGTTGTCCCTAAGAATCTTTTATATTTTGTGTTAATTTTATGTGTTACTTTCAATACAGTTTTTACTAATATATTTTCAATTGGTCGTTGTTACTGCTTAAGAATACAACTGATTTTTATACGTGGATTAATTTCCTAGGGCTACCATAACAAAGTACCACAAAATGTGGCTAAAACAACCTAAATTTAGTCTCTCATAGTTTTGGAAGCCAGGAGTCTGAAGTCAAGGTGTCAGAAAGGCCATGTTCCCTCTGAAGACTTTAGGGAAGAATCCTTGCTTGCCTCTCTTATCTTCTAGTGACCCCAGGCATTCCTTGGCTTGTGGCAACTTAACTCCAATCTCTACTTCCATCTTCACAGGATCTCCTTTCTGTTTCCTCTTGTCTTTTTTGAAGACATCAGTCATTGAATTTGGGGCATCACCTAAACTGAGAATGATCTCACCTTGAGATCCTTAATGAACTACCTCTGCAAAGACCCTATTTCCAAACAAGGTCACCATCTGAGATTCCAGGTGAATGTCAATTTTGGGGAGACAAAACTCAACTCATAATCTTATAGCAAACAATTTGACCAAACTTTCTTATTACTTCTAATAACTTGTGGATTTATCTATGTGGACTTTTATGTTATCATGAAATAGACAATTTTCTCATTTTGTCTCTTCTGTCATTTTTTTTTTTTTCCTTTTTAGGTCTTCTTTCTTTTGCTACACTCCAGTAAAATGTTGAGTAAAAGTTGTGGTGACAAACAATTTTAATTTCTTCCTAACTAGTATAAATTCTTCTAAAATTTTACAGGTAAGCGTAATGTATTGGATGTAGGATTTTAATAAATATCCTCTATTATACTAATCAAGTTTCTATTTCTAGTTTACTGAGAGCTTTTTACATTGTTTTATTTTTTAATTATAAATGAGTCCTGCATTTTATTGACATTTTTCAGCATCAAGTGAAAGGATCACATTTCCTTCATCTAAATGTTAATGTGGTTGTCAGGGAGGAAAAACTGTTCCTCTATTCCCTCCTGCTTAGTCACAGGAGTCCTATGAATTACACTGACAAAAGCCAGAGTAGCATGAAGAGAAAAAGGCTTATATAAGTGCATATGGGAGCCAACAAAAAAGTAGCTGTCTTATTAAATGTTTAAAGTTGGAGGCTTATCCATCTAATTTACTAGGGAAAAGGGAGGAGGGAGAAAAGGCTCTTGGGGAAGAACAAATAGGTTTCTTTAGGAAAGACAACCTGTTTTTTAGAAGAACAAGAAAGTTTATGATAAAGTTGGTTTATGCAGATGCCACTGGTCTTTTTCATGGCCATGAAACTCCCAGAGCAGCATTTATGGTAGCCTCCTTTCCCAGAAGTTGCTGCTCTTCGTCAGATAAGGGATGTTCCAAGAAGGCTTCTATTCACATCTACTGAATCTCAAATGTCTTCAGCTTAAAATAAGCTCCGTATGAACCCTGGAGTTCTGAGTTGGGTCCCTCATGGCAAAATGCAATGGATGTCCATCATTGTCTTCCTGGGACAAAATGAAGCCATGATGGTTTTCTTCCCCCATATATTAGGTAATTCAATTGAGTAGTCATCTATTTAGGATTATTCAGCTCTGTCCTGTGGTAAAATTAATTTTTCCTTTCTTTACTTTCCTCACAAAATAGTGTGAGGAATTTTCAGCCTTTTTTTTTTTTTTAAGATTTTATTTATTTGACAGAGCGAGAGATAGCAAGAGCAGGAATACAAGAGATAGCAAGAGCAGGAACACAAGCAGGTGGAGTGGGAGAAGGAGAAGCAGGCTTCCCGCCAAGCAGGGAGCCCGATGCGGGGCCCGATCCCAGGACCCTGGGATCATGACCTGCGCTGAAGGCAGACGCTTAACGACTGAGCCACCCAGGCACCCCTCAGCCTTTTTTTTTTAATTTCTAAATAGTTTATATAAATAGGTAAAAAGAGTAGAAATCAGGTAAAACTTGTGCTTTGTCGTACAGGTTGGAGAGGTTTTTATTATGAATTTATATTCTTTAATAATTACACTTTAAATTTTTTAATAAATTTAATTTTTTAAAGATTTTATTTGAGAGAGAGAGAGAGAAAGAGAGCATGAGCAGGGGGAGGGACAGAAGGAGAGGAAGAAGCAGGCTCTCTGTGGAGCAGGGAGCCTGATGTGGGATTCAATCCCAGGACCCTGAAATCATAACCCAAGCTGAAGGCAGACACTTAATGGACTGAGCCACCCAGGCACCCCTAATAAATTTAATTTTTTAGAACAGTTTTTGATTTACAGAAAAATAGGGAAGATAGTAGAGTTCCCAAATACTTTTGCATTCTTGTATTATTAACATATTATCATGAAACATTTATATTATGGTATAAACATATATAGGTAGTATATGTTACTATGATAACACACTTGCTATGGTATATTGTTATAATTAATGAGCCAATATTGATACATGGTTATTAACTAAGAACTATATTCAGATTTCTTTAGTTTTTAATCTAATGTCCCTTTTTCTGTTCCAAGATCCTGCGTTACATTTAGCTGACATGTCTTTTTAAATTCCTTTTGGCTATAATAGTTTTTCAGACTTCACTTGTTTTTGATGACTTGATTTTGAAGAGTACTGATCAGGTATTTTACATAAAATGTTCAGCAACTGGGATTTATCTGGTATTTTTCTCATGGTTAGGTTGAAGTTATGGGTTTGGAGAAGACTACAGAGGTGAAGTGTCATTTTTATCACTGTATATCAAGGGTACATCTTATCAGTATGATTTGTCACTCTCGATGTTGCCTTGGTCACCTGGCTGAGGATCTTTGTCAGCTTTCTCTCCTGTCGGAGTTACTCTCCCTGCCCCACCACTATGCCATATTCTTTCGAAGGAAGGTACTATGCATAGAATAATTACCTTTTTTGAGTTTTTTTCTTCTCCCATCAATTTTATTGTCATATATTTTGAAAATAGTTTCTGTGTCACACTTTGCAAATGTATTGATATAGTTATTTTAGTATCCTCATGATTTCAAAAGTCTTTGTATCAGCTATAGTAAACCCTTTTTTATTCCTCAAATTATTTGTATATTTTCCCTTTCTATTGATCACATTTATTGGGAAGTTGCACACTTTTTAGTTTTGTTCTAAGAATTAGCTTTTTATTCTGTTATTACTTCTTGTTTTAGCTCCTGTTAACATCTGCTATTTTACTTACGATTTCCTTACTTCAAGTTTACTATACTATTCCTTTACTATTCCTGGCATGGACATTTAGCTCATTTGGTCTTAATTCTTACTGCTATTTGATAGCTATATTTACAGTTATAAATTTCCCTCTCAGTATAACTTGGTGACATTCTACATCATTTGATAAAGGGAACCTCATTATAATTCACTGTCAAAATCTTGTGATTTCACTGTGATTTACATTTAAATAATGAATTTAACAGTTGTTGAGGTTTTCCTTGTGACCCAGTACGTGGCCTATTTTTTTATTTTCACATGTACTTGAAAGTAATGTAGTGTCTGCTGGTTTACTTGGATTTTACCTTGCCTTCCTGGGATTCTTACAGATGTTGACCTATTTATTCCTTTGCTCCATATCTTTTAACTTGTCTTTCCATATTCTTTCAACTCTTTGTTCCTTGATGATCTCTGGGAGAGTTCCTTAACCTGATCTTTCAGTTTCTTAATTGGCCTTCTTTATGCATTCTACTCTTGCACCAGACTATCATTTATTTCAGGCATTATTTATTTCAGACTGAGAAGCTTCAACTGGTTCTTTTTTTATGACTACTTGTTTTCTGCTTTCCAGTCAATCAGTATCTCCACTTGTTCTCTCTCTAATGATATGATAATGCTAATTCTTGCTCGATGTGGTCCATTACTTTTTCCCTTTCTTACATAGTGGGTGTACCTTCAGATGTCTCATTATTTTTCCTGTAATGCCACATTTCCCTGGGATTATCTGTTACTGTCAACAGTCATGTCTCCCTAGGAGAATAAGCCAAACGCCAAGCCCTAACTTGTGCCCTTGGTGTAGTGAGTTTACAGAGATTTTTAGAAGGGTTCTTTAGGGCTAAGAGCCTATTTTGATTTTTCCTCAACAATTTCCAGTTTGGCACGCACACATAATGTGACACTGATCTCAAGTGACTTTTCTATGCCTCCACCAAAGCACAGCTTTTCCCAAAAGCTGTCATCCTCTTGGGACCTAATCCTCTAAACCACAGCTTCTCAACCAAAAATGGTATTTGGAAATGTGTGAAGGGAATACAGGGGCCGCTGTAATGACATTGTCGCTAAAGCATTTTGGGCAAGGGGTTGAGAATATTAAACATGTTCTAAGGCATGGAGAAATCCCACACAATAAATTACTGTCGAATAAAATGACAGGAGCATCCCCATGGGTAGCAATAGGATATGAGTTAAAGCTGAGGACTAACTCCCTTATTTGCACCTGCAGGTTTCTCCTCCCTGCCCTCAGGTTTCTCCAGCGGTGCCGGATGCTACTACAGTGCCTCCAGGTGGGCATGGAAACTTGGTGCTCCTGCTTCTCTCCCCTACAGTCACAAGGTAGCAATCAGTGTTCTAACCAGGACATTGCAAGAAAATTAAAAGGACCCAGAATGCTTGCCTCGATCTTTTCCCTGTTCCTGACTACCAGCTTTCTCCTGCCCTGGCTTTGCTTCCTCTTCCTAAACCCTAATCTCCATCAGGGACATCAGAATCCAATTATCTTGGACTTCCTAGGGATTTCTTACAGTTTTTACTAATATCTGAATATACCATCTTCCTTCTGTGGCATACCCGGTGTTGAATCAAATGAAGGAACCAGCATCCCATTAGTATTCCATCTTGCTACCTCACTCTAGGAACACTGGTTCTTAACAACATGTGAACAGAAATGTACAGTGGATAGAAAATTTTCGCTAATTTTGAAAATTTGGAGCATGAAAAGTAGATTTACCCCCAGAAAATAAGGTATACAAAGACATGTTTAAAAAAAAAAAAAAAAAAGCCAGGGCACCTGGGTGGTTCTGTCGGTTAAGCATCCGACTCTTGATTTCGGCTCAGGTCATGATATCGGGGTGGTGGGGTCAAGCCCCACATCAGGCTCCACACTCAGCCCCAAGTCCGCTTGAGATTCTCTCTCTCCTTCTTCCCCTTTCCCCATCCCTCCCATGTTCTTTCTCCCTCTCTCTCTAAAATAAATAATCTTTAAAAAAATAAAAACAGTGTAACATTCATAGATGAAAAACATACCAAGCAAGATGAAGAGCCTAGAACTCTACCATGTATAGATGGCAACATGAAACAATAGAAGTGGTAACACCAATCTGTGTGGACATGATAAATTACTTGCTAAATTATTTGGTAGACAATATAGGGAAAATGAAACATTTCATGGAGAAATATAATATTTCCACCATTTGAGAAAGTTTAAAAATTTTTATAACAAATTTATTTGCGAGAGAAAGAGAGAGTGCCATGAGCCGGGGTGAGGGGCAGAGGGCAAAGCAGACTCCCCGCTGAGCAGGGAGCCCGATGTGGGGCTCGATCCCCGGACCCCAGGATCATAACCTGAGCCAAAGGCAGATGCTTAACTGACTGAGCCATCCAAGCACCCCTAAATTTTTTAATTTGAAATAATTTTATAAGTATAGAAAAGTTTCAAAAATAGTATAGAGTGTTCTTACACATGCTTCAGCCAGATTCACATAGTAACATCTTGTATAATTATTTTACAATGTACAAAATTAAGAAATTAACATTGGTACATTAGTGGCTATTACCTAAACTACAGATTTTATTTGAATTTCACCATTTTTTCCACTAATGTCCCTTTTCTGTTCCAGAACCCAAGCCGTGATCCCACATTGAATTTAATTATCATCTCCTTAATCTCTTCCAAACTCTGAAAGTTTTACACTGTTTTTCACGATCATGAATCTTTTTTTAAATTGTAGTTGACATACACTGTTATATTAGTTTCAGGTGTACAACATAGTGATTCAACAATTCTGTACATTACTCAGTGCTCACCACAATAGGTGTAGTAACCATACAACGTTATTACAATATTATTGCCTATATTCCCTATGCTGTACTTTTCATTTGACTTATATACTTCACACCTATAAGTGTGTACTTCTTAATCTCCTTTACTTATTTCACCTGTCTCCCCATACCCATTCCCCTCTGGCAACCACCAGCTTGTTCTCAGTATTTATGAGTCTGTTTCTCTGAAGGTTTGTTGGTTGGTTTGGTTTGGTTTTGGTTTGGTTTTTAGACTCCACATGTAAGTGAAATCCTATTTGTCTCTCTGACTTATTTCACTTAGTGTAGTACACTCTATGTTTATCCACATTGATGCAAATGGCAAGAACTCATTTCTTTTTATGGCTGAGTAATATTCCAGTGTGTGTGTGTGTGTGTGTGTGTGTGTGTGTGTGTGTATAAACACATCACATGTTCTTTATCCATTCATCTATTGATGGACACTCTGGTTGCCTCCATATCCTGGCTATTATAAATAGTGCTGTAATAAACATAAGGGTCCCTATGTGTTTTTGAATTAGTGTTTTCATTTTGTGGGGTAAATACCCAGCAGTGGAATTACTGGATTAAATAGTATTTCTATTTTTAATTTTTTGAGGAACCTCCTTACAGTCTTTTCCACAGAGATAACACCAATTTACATTCCCACTAACGGTGCACAAGTGTTCTCTTTTCTCCGCATCCTCTCCAACATTTGTTACTACTTGTCTTTTTGATACAACCATTCTAACTGGTGTCAGGTGATATTTCATTGTATTTTCATTTGCATTTCCCTGATGATTAGTAATGTTGAGCATTTTTTATGTTCCTTTTGGCCATCTGTATGTTGTCTTCGGGAAAATGTCTACTCAGGTCCTCTGCCCATTCTTTTATTATTATTATTTTTTTTTTTTTTTGGTGGTGAGCTATATATAAGTTCTTTATATATTTTGGATATTAATCCATTTTCAGATATATCATTTGCAAGTAACTCCTCCCATCCAGTAGGTTACCTTTTCATTTTATTGTTTCCTTTGCCATGCAAAAGCTCTTTATTTTGGTGTAGTACCAATAGTTTATTTCTGCTTTCATTTTCTGGCCTGGGGAGATATAGCCATAAAAATGTTGCTGAGGCCAATGTCCAAGAGATTACTGCATATGTTTCCTTTTAAGAGTAATTCTCATGGATTAGAAGAATTAATATTGTTAAAATGTCCATACTATTCAAAGGAATCTACTGGATTCAAGGGAATCCTTATCAAAATACCAGTAGTATTTTTCTAAGCACTAAAACAAATAATCCTGAAATTTACCAAAAGACCCTTAACAGCCAAAGCAATCTAGAGAGAGAGGAATAAAGCTGGATATATCACAATCCTGGATTTCAAGATATACTACAAAACTTTAGTGGTCAAAAACAATATGGTATTGGCACAACAGACACATAGATCAATAGAACAGGACAGAAAGCCCAGTAATAAACCCACACTTATATGATCAATTAATCTATGACAATGAAGATAAGAATATGCAATAGATGCAATAAGGGAATGACTATCTCTTCAATAAATACATTCAATAAATGATGTAGCTGTATGGACGACTAATGCAAAAGAATGAAACTGGACCACTTACTTACATCATATACAAAAAGAAACTCAAAATTATAACTTTACTGAATTCATTTATTTTAATCATTTTTGATGGAGTCTATGTATAATATATCATCTGCAAATAGTGACGGTTTACCTCTTCCTTACCAATTTAGATACCTTTATTTCTTTTTCTTGTTTGATTGCTGAAGCTCACACTTCCAGTACTATGTTGAATGAAAGTGACAAAAGTGGACATCCTTGTCTTTGTCCTCATCTTAGAAGAAAAGCTTTCAGTTTTTCACCATTGAATATGATGTTAGTTGTGGGTTTTTCATATTTGGCCTTTAGTATGTTGAGGTGAGTTCTCTCCAAACCCACTCTGTTGAAAGCTTTTATCATGAATGGATGTTGAATACTGTCAAGTGCTTTTCTGCATATTGAGATGATCACATGGCTTATCCTTCCTCCTGTTAATGTGGTGTATATTGATTGATTTGCAGATATTGAACCATCCTTGCATCCCTGGAATAAATCCCACTTTATCATGATTAATACTTTTCATGTATTGTTCAATTTGATTTGCTAATATTTTTTGAGGATTTTTGTATTTATGTCCATCAGCAATACCGGGCTGTAGTTTTCTTTTTTTGGTAGGATCTTTGCCTATGGTATCAGGGTAATACTGGTCTTATAGAATGAATTTAGAAGTTTTCCTTCCTCTTTTATTTTTTTTTTGAATAATTCAAGAGAATAGTTCTTTAAATGTTTGGTAGAATTCATCTGTGAAGATATCTGGTCCTGGACTTCCGTTTCTTGGGAGTCTTTGATTACTGATTCAATTTTGTTACTAGATATCTTTCAGTTCAGATTTTCTATTTCTTCTTGAATCAGTCTTGGAAGATTACATTTCTCAAAATTCATCCGTATCCCTAGGTTTCCAATTTGTTGGTATATAATTTTTCATAGTATTCTTATAATCCTTTGTATTTATGTGGTATTCATTGTTATTTCTCTTCTTCTATTTTTTATTTTCTTTGTGTCGTGTATCTTTTTTTTCCTTGATGAATCTGGCTAAGTGTTTATCAATTGTGTTTATCTTTTCAAAGAAGCAGCTCTTGGTTTCATTGGTATTTTCTAATTTTTTTGTGTCTATTTAATTTACTTCTGCTTTAATCTTTATTATTTTCTTTATTCTACTTACTTTGGATTTTGTTTGCTCTGCTTTTTCTAGTTCCTGAAGTTGGAAGGTTTGTTTGTTTACTTAAGATTTTTCTGGTAATAGGCCTGTATTGCTCTCAACTTCCCTCTTAGAACTGCTGCTGTTGCGTTTCAAAGATTTTGAACTGTTATCATTTCCACCTGTCTTCATTTTTTTAAAATATCCTCTTTGATTTTTTGTTGACCCATCAGTTGTTTAGTAACATGTTGTTTGCCTCCATGTTTGTTTATTTGCTTGTTTCCAGTTTTGTTTTGTTGTTGTTTGTTGTTGTTTTTGTAGTTGATTTCTAGTTTTATATTGTGGCCAGAAGAAAATGCTTGATGTAATTTTAATCTTCCTAAATTTAGTGAGACTCATTTTTGACCTAACATATGATCTCTCCTGGAGAATGTTCCATGTGCACTTGCAAAGAATTTGTATTCTGCTATTTTTGGATGGAAATGTTCTGAATATATCTGTTAAGTCTATCTGGTCTAATGTGCAATTCAAAGCCATTGTTTTCTTATTGATTATCTGTCTGAATGACCTATCCATTGATGTAAGTGGGGTGTTAAGTTTCCCTACTATTATCGTATTACTGTCAATGTCTTCTTTTAGGTCTGTTAAAATTTGCTTTATGTAGATAGGTGCTCTAGTGTTAAGTGCATTGGTATTTAGAATTGTTATATCCTCTTGTTGGAGTGATTCCTTTATTATATCATTATGTAAGGCCCTCTTTGTGT